CCTGCTTTTGTGGGAATCTATTGGGTTGTTGTTGTTGTGTTTAGTTTGTTCATGAATATGGAGTATATGACTACTATGGTTTGAGACTTGCTTCATTCAATATTCAATTAATCTAAGCAAATCGAGTCTCCCTCCATTCCACTATCTTTGTCCCATTTCATATTTGTTATGTTTGGGTGATTAAAAATTATTCAGTGTATCCATACTTAAATATTCATTATCAACCATACAATTCCACTTTTCCTTAACATGTGTGCTACAAGGAAATTGATTGTTTAAAAATCCTAAGTCATGTTTTTGGACATTGGATGTTCAGAATGAATGCAATGCACAATACTAAAATTGGATAAGTTTTAACATAATTATAACTTATAAGACTAACAAACTATCAAGGAAAAAGTGTTTGAATAGAAGTCGTCAACCAAAAATCATGACGACAATATCATGAATCTAACATCCACTCTTACATGAATGAGGTGTAATCAATTCTACGTGTGAATCCCATTACAATTCACATTATCTAGAACAACAGTATTAACGCTCTAGAGGCTATTCACATAACATATAAAGTTAGGTATACATGCTATTCACAACACTTCACTTATATGCTCATTCTCTTAGTGCACAATTCATGCTTGAAAATGATCAACATCACATAAATCCCAAGGATTAGTCACATGTTGTGTACCATAATCATAAACACTGAAATTCAAGGAGAACAAAACCACAATTTATTTGGACTAGAACAAATTGATTACTGAACTATTCTTAGAGGCTTCATCTTAACTACAACTTTGTGATTTAGCCTCTAATCACATATTCACATGGTATATGGTTATACCACTCAGTCAACAAAGTGACATTATAATGATAATGTCATTAGGATGATGCAATGGTTAAAGCTATTTAGAGCTGTTAACAACGCTTAGCTGCATTGTTGCAAATTTTTCTTAGCAGCATTCAGTTTTTTTGAATGCTAATTATAGCTTTCCATCATGACTCGTGGTTTTATTGCTTGAAGTTTCAGTGATACATCAATTTATTACTCATCAATAGTTCTCATTTATAATAACATTTTTTGTTTTGTTTTTCAAATATGATATGTGGTCAATGGCACAATGGTGTTGTTTGATCCATGTAGCCGACCCCACCTAGTGGGATAAGTCTTTGATATTGTTGTTTTCAGATATGATACATATTTTTATATTCTGATTCCATGATTGCAGGCGATTACTTTTCCTGATTTCTTTTTGGCTGATATATTTACATCCATGTCAAAGGTATGCATTTGTAATAGAAATTTATTTGATGAGGATGAGAGAATCCATGGGAGTGTGGGACAAACTGATTGGTTCATGTCGGTATCCCACAGTCCTGTCAGACCATTAGTAGAACTGGTCCTCCTCCCTCACTAACCAAATAATGTTGACTTATTAGTTCTCGCCTTTTAGGTCAGACTATTCCCTGGTCCTAGCATATATATTTGGAGTACACTGTCAATCTGTAGAATCACTTTGTTTGAACTCATTATGGTTCTTGCACTTGGAAGCACTTGGCTGCGTACGTGATTACATGTGGTGCTTGAGCCGGGGGTCTCTTTGGAAATAGCCTCTCTACTTTCGAGTAGGGGTAAGGTCTGTGTATACACACCCTCCCCAGACCTTACTTTTGTGGGATTCAACTTGGTTGTTGTAGTTGTACACTTGCACTTGGAAGCACATATAATCTACATGCCCCAACATGTATTTATATGCTTTTTTTAATCTGTCTTTACCTGTTCATCAGCTGTTGATCTGCCCTTCTCTCTCTCTCTTCGTCTCCTACTAGCTATGCGCTTGAGTTTAACACCCCCTCCCCAACAAACAATGTCTGGCATTTTTTTTTGCTTAAAGTAATTAAGAGTTTCCAGTTTTAGTTGAGGATGTAGATGGCCATTGCTTGCAGGTCTTCTCAGATTTAGAGCGCTCGGTTTGTCGAATGGTTCATCGCCAGGTTTGCCTTTTCTCCTTCCATTTCCATATTATTTTTGAGTTTCAACATTAGTATTTGAAACATTTACCATAACATGTGCAGGTAGCCACCATTGCTTGGTTTGAAGCTGATTCTGTTTGTGGGAGTCATGCTGTTGCAATTCCTATAGTTCTTGTGTTGCCATATTTTTTTCGACTCTTCCAATGTCTTCGGCAATATAAGGATACTCTAGAGAAGAATACCCTCCTCAATGGTATATGCCTTCCTCTCTCTCTCTCTCTCTCTCTCTCCCCCTCCCCCCTTTGTGTTCAATGATGTGCATCCTGATTTTACAATATTAATATGTTAACGGGATATGGCTGTGACATCTATCTCAACTGGACTCATGGTTGTCTCATAATATTCTCCATTCAAGTGGGAGAAAACAATATCAAATTATTGCAAATAAATTTTCTCATTCTCCCAATGTAGTAAGGTTGCATTACGGAGAAAACCCAGTGTAAACCTTATTGCTTTTTTTTTTGCATTAATTTATGGTGCTAACGTTTCTAGATAATAAATTGACATAGTATGTAATTATTTTTGGTGGGATGAGAGGTTGTCTTACTTTTGTATCTCATCATTCTCTTCATCCATGTTTTGGTGTGTCATTTTTTTCTTTGCAACCTCCCCTCCACCATAAAGCTCAAACTAATACACAGTTACACATATCAATCGTCAAGTACTCCAACAGTGAAAGTCTGAATTTTGTAATGCATAATGATATGACATGCCTATATCTCAGTTTTCCAATGCCTATATCTTAGAGAGGTTTTTTACCCTAGTTTTCTTACATGTTTGTTTTTTAAATTTTATTGAGTGGTTTTCTACCCTTGACAATGAAAGTTGCACTAATAGTGTTTGGTACATTATTTCAGCATTAAAGTATTCAACTGCCGTACCCGTGATATTTCTATCAGCCCTAAAGTATCACGTCTCTCCCGATAACTGGGTTAACTTCTATCGGCCTTTGTGGCTTATTTCCAGTGTTTTGAACTCCCTTTACTCATTTTATTGGGATCTGAACAGAGATTGGGACCTAGGGTACGTAATTCTTTCTTTTTCCAACTTTTGAAAAATTCTTGATTGGTGATTCCTATCAATTACTTCAAATCTGTATTTTAAGATTCTTTTGGGGGCGTTGGGGGGAAGAAATGCCCTTTTATTTGCTTTTTAGACATCAAAATTTTAACCCAACTGTTGGATATTCTTAAAAATACCCCCCCCCCCTCTCCCCGTTTTTACTTTTTTGGCCAAAGTTTATTGACTTATGCACCTAATTTAAATATAGTAATACACCATATTTAAGAACCAATGAATTCAATCAAAACGTCGACTAACAATCGTTTTCATTTCTGCCAGTTGCTTTACTCGAATTTTCAAGTTCAACAAGCCTCACTTCTTATCACACATGTTATATGGACGGAAGTGGGTAAGACCATTTGTTTGGCTTTCCTATCTTTTAATCCATTAGTTCATTTTACTGTTTCAGGATACGATTGTGTGTGTTTTCCTGGATCCATTTGGAACTTGTAAAGATACTACTCCGTACAATGTAATAGAGTTAATAGTACTACAAAAGTAATCAAATTTGTTCTTTGTCATATTTTCAAGTTCAAACTTACAACCAAACGAAGAAACAACATTTTCCCCCATTTTTCCCACATTCTCTACCATTTTTTTTGGACTCCAAACAGAGCATTGATGTGTGAATTTTAGCCGAAGGGTAATATAGAAATTGGGAAAAACAGTTCTACTCTACAGTAACCCCTTCCCTACTCTGGGGGGATATTACAATTGCAGGTATATATATGGGTGATAGGAAGCAACCTGATACTGCGGTGCACATGGACATACAAGTTGTCTGCCCATCTCCGCCACAATTACTTAACTCTATTCACAATCACCGCCTTGGAGATATTCCGGCGCTTCCAGTGGGCCTTCTTTCGTGTCGAAAACGAGTGGAATAAGATGACCAACAAATCAAACATTCAGCTCTCCATCACTGATATGTCAAGCGAAGAAGAGAAACTAGTGAACTCTGATAATCATAATGTATAGGAGGGTCTGCCAAGCATCTTCTTTATACTGGAACACAGCAGTTTTAGGTAATTCTATTCTTTTTGTTCATTTGCATAATAGATTTTTTTCCCTTCTTTTATTAGTCAATTTTTATTAGCAATAGGATACCATAGATGGCTATGGTATCTGGTAGATATAATAGATGTTGAACTATTATTTTCTCTTCAAAGGAGCAGACACAAACCATTCTATGGAAACTTTTTGGTAGCTTTTACGGAGGAGTATATGTTTATATATACATTGGATTTGTGAAAAACATTTTTGTTGTTCTGAAGATGTTTTATCCTTTGTGTTTATGAAGTTGAATAATGATGGATATGAGCATAGAGACTCTAAGCTGCTGATTATTATTATTATTATTATTATTATTATTATTATTATTATTATTATTATTATTATTATTATTATTATTATTATTATTATTATTACTCCCTCCATCCTTGAGTAGTTGTCCACTTTTGACTTTTTTCGGTCAAAAATGATATAAGATATTGGTACAAAAATAGTTTCTTTAGATTTATTATATAAAATATTTTTAAAATATTATTTTATGTAAATAATATACAATATATATTTATTTAATTATAGGTCAAAGGTTGAAAACAGTTGATCGAAAAAAGTTAAAAATTAGACAAATATTCGGAGACGGAGGTAGTATTATTATTATTAGCAAATTATATAATGGGATTGAGGATGATCCCAATTATTATTATTATTATTATGAGCAAAATAATTGATTTGCTCAATGATGAAGGATATAAGCATATAAGGTTGTGTAGAACTTTTAGATGGAAAGGTGCCCATTTTTAGCAGTCCCCACAATGCATGGTGGGGGCCATCCATCCATATAAAATCATGCAACAAAGAACAACAATAAATGACATGTGCCCTGTTTGGTGAGACTAGACATGAGACGTTGCAGTTTTTAGAAGAGAAACTATTTGCATTGCTTCTAATGGATAGAAATGGAGGACGCCATTAATGAATGAGTGAAAATACTCTTGTGTTTGTGAAAGGGGAAAGAAAAAATCTTAGGAAGAAAAATACAGAAGAGGAAGGCATTGCCAACAAGGCAAGTGGGTGACCTTCTCCTTTGTCTTTTTGCAAAACTTTCATGTTTCCTAAACCACCTTGTGGCTTTAGTTTTAGGGTGTGTTTGGCATATAATTCTAAGGAAAGTTTTTTTTTTATTTTTCATTTTTTATGGATCATGTTCCCTCAAGGTGAGGTGCGAAAGAGTGTAATGGCCACGTTTGATCCCAGGTAATGATGATGAATGACGATTATTTAGTATGAAGTCTTTGCGTGGTTCAAAAACAAATCTCACTCTCTATTGACCAATCTGAAATTAAATTTCATTTACCTCTTTTTAGGTCAGTGTTCAACCTTTGAAGCTTACAATTGAGTGTTAAAACTTGCCAATTGCTCTTATCTTATGTTTTTCATTTTTAAAATATAGTTTACTTTTGTTAAACGTTTTTATTGAGATAACAATTGTCAGCTATTATACTTCGTATATTTTTTTATTCAAGATAAGAAGTTTCTACTTCAACTACCAAGTAAATGAGACCTCTACAGTCTACACTATTCTTTTATGTTAATGTGTGTTAACTCAACGTTTTAGTAAGTATTGTTTGTTAAGACAAATTTTGTCAAGAGAATTTAATTCACATTTTTATATGTTACAGATATCAATTTCACTCAATATAATATACACGAGTCAAATTACCTCACGAGAGAATTTACAGAAACCAAAATCAATATTTTCTCTAATATACTCTTTTCTCACTTTTTTTTTGTCTAATTCACAATTCATACGGTCAGATCAAATCTTGTTTCGTTACATATTTTTAGCTACCATTAGTTAAAATAATATAGTCATCTCGCTTCTTAATTGGTAGAAAAATTCATTCAAATATAATAAATAAAAATGAGACAAAAATACCAAAATTTGGAGGGAGTATTTTACAAGTGTGTTGCAAGCGTGGGGATTGGCCAAGAAACCACAACAATTATAGTACAAGAATGAATATAAAAATTATACCCGAGTTTTTCTTAAAGAAAAATAATCTAAAAACTATAAAATCCACCCCACGATTTTGCTATGGTTCTGATAATAACTCTCTTTTAGTATGAGACTGACATGTCAACCATCATGTTGTTTCATTCGATCATCCCCTCGGTTCAAAAATAGTTATTTCAAAATTATTTAAAATTTATTTATAAAATTTAGAAACTCCATTTTGAAAACAATATAAAAAATTTAACAAAATAAGACAATAAAGTACACAGTACTATAATACATAGACAAAAAAAGAATATTAGAATTTAAATAATGTACTCCCTCTCTCCCTGAGTATTTGTCCACTTTTAACTTTTTTCGGTGAAAATTGGTAAATTTTGATCTCAAATTAAATAAAAATTATATTAGATATTGATACAAAAAGAGTTTTATTAGATTTATTATACCAAATATTTTCAAAATATAATTTTATTTAATTAAAACACAATATATATTTTATTTAATTATAGGTCAAAGGTTGAAAACAGTTGACCGAAAAAAGTCAAAATTGGACAAATACTCAGAGACGGAGGTAGTATATGAAATTTTTCTTTGAGACGAAAGAGTTATTATATTTAAATATTTATTTATTTTTCCTGAATCAATACAGAGTACATTATAAATACCTAAACACTAGCTAGTTCGCAAATCAAAAACTTAAATTTATGTGTTCAAAGAAAAAATATGCATTTGAAACATACGTAGTATTCAATGTTTTGCATTAACGTTTTGAAAAGATTGTTTAAATACATTTATTTGTAGCATTTTTAAATATAATTTATATCGTTAAAATTTTATTCAAAACACTAAAATTAGTACTCCTTCCGTCCTAAAACTTTTTTCCTACTTCCCCTTTTTCCCCGTCCTAAAACTACTTTCCCATTAGAAAAAAAAAGATGACAAATGACATTAATACCCTCATGTATTTACACCAATTATCTTCTAATTCTATATTTTAAATGATTGCAAAAAAAACTTTCAAAAAATCTTTTTTAAGGAGGGTAAAATTTGAATTTAAGCCAAAAATTAAAAATAGAGAAAAGTCAAACTGGGAAGAAAGAAAAGAATTAGGATGGAGGGAGTATAAACTTTGTAACCAATCCAAAGATTATTACAATTTACAAACCAATGTCTAATAACTTGAATTAGGTTTTTTCCCTTAAATTTACCACTGTATTTACCCCCCAAAAAAACTCAGGCAAGTCTCTTCAGACACACTCTTCTTTCTTTCTCTCTCTTTCTTTCTTTCTTTCTTCTTTCTTGATATTCGCCACCTATATCTGAGCAGTGAAGTGCCAAATTATTTCCCTTCAGAGTATCTGCTTCTGCTCCTTCACTGTTTCAAGAAAATGTGTGTTTGCTCCATACTTCAGTGAAACTTATGCCTTTAAAGAACATCAACAAGAACTGAATTGGGGCTCTCCCTCCCAATGCCCAAGAAAAAAGTTCAATTCTTTCTTTCTTGAGCTCTCTTCTGATGTCAATTTGTATGTTTACCATTCCTCCAATTTGTTTTCTTTACTGTTATATTATTTATTCTGCTCTCTGGGTGTGCTTTTCACTGCTCATTTTCCCCCCTCTGGCCTTCTCTCAAAAATCTCATTTTTTTTTGTTACGAGATCTGATAGAATTATGGTTTCGAAGCCCATTTTTTTCTTTCAATTTTTTGGGTTTGTATATTTATCTTGTTATCAAGAAAGATTTAAAATTTGGGTTCGTTCAACTTATTATACCCTTAGTTGCTGATGCATTTTTCTCGCTTCCTTTATAAATGTAAAACAGTGTAGGTAGGTTTCAAATGTCTGAGCTAGGGTTTGATCTTTTTATCCTCCTTTTGGTAGTGGAGATTAGATTATCTAAGAGGATTTGCATTTGTGAGGGACTCAGTTTGGAGCTATGTCTCGTAGTTACTTGCAGATCCATGTTCTGCAGAGAAATTAGTTTTCTTAAATGAAGGAGAAATGGTAGATTGATAGAATCTAGGAATGCTTTGTTTAGCTGTAGTCTAGAAATGATGTCAGTTAATAATGCAAAATTGTCATTTCTTGACATGAAAAACACGGCGAGATTTCGGTTCAATGTGGAGCAAAGTAGAATCATTTCTAGTGTGTTTCTTTCTCGCTTGTGAGGTAGTATATGTTGAGGTAAAACACTAGAGATTTGAATGAGTAATTACCAAATCTTTTTTTTTGTGTGTGCAGATGTACGAGATGCAAATTGGCTTTGACCTAGCTCAATTGTAATCACGATGAAATTAAAGCTAAAGATAGGACGAAAACCAATTATGCCACTCCGTCTGAAGGGCAAAGCGGCGACCAGCTTTTGCTTCCTTCCTAAACAAAAGTCTGACAGTTATGGCCCTGGTGATACACCGGTTTATCTCAATGTCTACGACTTGACACCTTTGAATGGTTATGTCTATTGGGCTGGCTTTGGTATCTTTCATTCCGGAGTGGAAGGTAACCACAATTCCCAAACTTCTTAGGGTCTGGTTGGAACTCGGAAATGAAGTATGCTTAATGCATTAAGCATATTTCATTTCCATTCCCTAACATTTTTCTTGGATCCAAACATACCCTTATGCTTCATTAATCCGCGTCTCTTTTTTTTCTTTTTCTTAAATGATTACCTTTGCACTTTTCAGTGCATGGTGTAGAATATGCATATGGAGCTCATGACTATTCAAGTAGTGGTGTGTTTGAAGTTGAACCGCATCAATGCCCGGGCTTCAAGTTTAGGAAATCCATATTCATTGGGACAACAAAATTTAACCATACCCAAGTGAGGGAGTTCATCGAGCGTCAATCCACCAGCTACAACGGTGACACGTACCACTTGATTGTGAAAAACTGCAACCATTTCTGCAACGACATATGCTACAAGCTTACCGGAAAGAAAATCCCAAAATGGGTTAATCGACTAGCAAAGCTAGGTAACATTTCCCCATGCAGTATATCTATGTTCAAATTGATGATTTTATATTTTAACTTTTGACTTGCTTTTTTTCATGGAACCAACTCAACCACAAGATCAAGCTTTGTGGTTGTAGGTCTAAGGTTTTATGCTTTGACACGCGCATAAAAGATTCGTTTTTGCTTGAGACTTACGCGTTAACACTATTTTTTTTAAAATTGAGTGGCGATGAGATTTGAACTTGTGACCTCTAAAGGACCAATTCAACATCAACCCTCCAATAAAAGATTTATACTTTGACAATGTTTAGCTGAAACGGATGTTACCAAGCACTTAATCCTTCACAAAGTGCAGCCAATCCGTCCATTTCAGCACAAAAACCTTTAACTTAAACTCATGAAGATATGTTTGCCCTGAACATCTTTTTTTTGTTGTTGTTCACTTAGGTTCGATGTTCAACTGTGTGTTGCCCGAGGCCCTAAAAATTGCTGCAGTACAACACGATCCTAAAGGCAAAGAAGAAGAAGAACACGAGGGCGAAAAGAAAAGGTTGAGAAGTTCCTTCGACTGTCTTTCTTCAATTTCAACAAGACAAAGACATCTGTCAGCATCTTCATTGTTCCTACAATCTCCCTTAAGAGGATGCATACCTTCTTCCTGGGAATTCAGATGGTCAACTAATCGCTCCCTAAAGGCAAGGTAGGTGAACATGTTTTGCATATGCGTAACACTTTCCATGCTCATTTCATGTAGTTGTTTTAACTTTTAAGAATCTTAAACTCGTGTTTTAGGACATCAACAGTCTTCAAAAGTGAACACTGAAATTTTTTGATGTAATAAATGCTTTCATTCCTTAAAATGGGAATGCCATAACTTTACTACAAGCTGCTCATCAATCCATATTTGTATCAATTGACTTTCTGATGATTGTTAGCAGTAGTTCTTGTGTCACCGTTACAAGCACTAAGATATGCTCGCTTCTCTGCCAATCCAATATCTGACAGTATCAGACTTCCCTGCATTGTGAACAAACTTAATGAGACCGAATCTTTGAACATTTAGCTATAAACTTAATAGTATAATTACGGTTGTAGGCCTAAGAAAGGGTTTATACTTTAAGAATGGTAAATGAATGACAAAAAAGAAAGAAAAAACTTACCTCGTGAGCCATAAACCTGCGGACATTTTCTGCATATAGTTTAGGATCATCCTTTTCTTGTGGTGAGGGATAGTATACTGGTAACCGGATCACTTCCATATGATTTACAAATTGACAGAGAAGAAGAATCAAATGCCTAGCCTGTTGTAAATGCGTAGCATTCTATCAATTTCTTTTATAATTTTCAAAGTGAGGACGACGTAAATATAAGAAGAGAAAAAAAAACTACAAAATTTGCAGAAAGTACCCCTGAAATGGAGTCCCAGGCAGGGCTAAGCCTGCGGTATGGATAACGTATGATGACTGGATGGACCGGAGCTCTTGCCACAAATGCACCCGTCTTGAATGGAAGGAGGAAGTCTCCATTTGTTGTTGTGCCCTCTGTTGTGAAACATCATTTTAACAATGAAGAAGAAGATGAACCAGTAGGTTTACTTTTTTTCTTTTTGTTTTTTAGCTTTTGGTGAGATGAAAAACTGTACATGATACTCTCCTAGTTTTGGTGTCTTTAGCTAGTGCATTGTTTTTGTTCATTTATAACAAAGGGTCCTCAAATTTCATGGGAAAAAAATTTGCAAGAGTTAGTTTGACCTGGAAAAAGAATCACCATTGGAGAGAACTTGTTCTTGTAAGCTTCCTGGATTCTTTGGTTCACCACACCTGCAACCATATGATGGAATACCATGTTATAAAAAGATTGGACCAAATTTGATTTTCTTTAATCTTTTTTGGAGCTTTTATTAGTTTTGATTGGATTTTCATCACCTGAAACACCAATGAGATCTGGTGTCTTAGATTCTCTCTCTACATAGATACAACCTAGGCATTTGCTGCAGTTTATTAATAAAAAACATGATTAACAAACATATCATATCATCAAGAAGATCAAACTGAGAAGCTAATAAGCCAGTATATAATTAACAACCTGATGAGGCCAACAAGGGGAAGCCTAGCCACGGATTTCTTCGATCGCAAACATATATTACGCGTGATCAAGAACAAAGATCGAATAATAATTAATAAAAACTCTGGAAAATGATGAAGATCATCATGACTATATATAGCTAGCGTACCTTGGCTACAAAGCTGGCACAAGAAGAAGACATGTGGTATAAGACGTCCGTATAAGACACATGGTTCGACACGATCACTCCCGCCCTTTCTTCTTCGCTTCCCGCCTTTTATGTTTGACCAAAAGCCACGCCATATGAGAACTTAACACCGATGAGTTTATAAGATCTTCTGAGTTGAACTAATTGATCGTTTACCTTGTGGTTTGACTTTAGAGGAGGGAGGTGATGGTGGCACCGGTGGGTTTCGTCGATCCAATAAAATCCAAAGGCAAAGAGAAGCGCTCTGCCGGTGAACCTGCCGCTGGCCATGATGACCTTCCTCCTCCACCCCTCCAAATGCGCGTAGTTCCCGTGCTCGTTCGGGCCCAGAAACGCCGTGCAGATCCGGCACGTCAGGTAGCAGAGCACGACCAGCGTCGTCGCGGCCGCCACCCTCAGGGGCAAAAGCGTCAACATTGCCACCCCCAGCAAGACCTTCTCGGTCCACGGGAGGGGGGCCCGGCCCATGATCCCGTAGGAGTCGTGCCTCACGTAGGGAGCGTACTTTTCCTGGGGATCGGGCTCATTCGGGCCTATAGGTTTCGGCACCGCAATGGTGTCGCTAGTCATCAGTTCCGGTTCCGGTTCCGGTTCCATTCTTCTATGAGTATGTTGAAGTAGCTAGTGTTACGTTGCAGTTGTTGCATGTGCCATTTAAAATGAAGCTATATGCCTCGATACTTCCGACCCACAACAGTAGATTAGCATAATAATAATAATAATAATAATCTTCTTTTCATTTTCTAACACTAATCTTTGCTCAATTTTTTTTATGTTTTTGGTCACCAAACATAGTATAGTACAGTAGTTTATTTTTTTGGGGTGGTTCATTAGTACGTACTCGTACTGGTTCATTAATTTATTTAGTACTCCTTTTGGTTTTTTTTTTTTTTTGCCTTTTATTTTTAAAGCAACTCCAAGAAATGGTAAAAAGCTCAAACTATCACTTTTACCCTTTTTTCATAAAAATCAATCTCAACTCCAATGAAAGAGGTACTCTGTATATGATACGATACACTCTTCCATCTTGGAGGGGTAAATATATACTCTCGGGAATATCAAGAGGTTACATATTTCTTCTTCGAAAATAGCACCACATGTGTTTTTCTTCCTAATATAGCACTTTTAGTCATTATGCATTAGACATTATTCAAATAAATATTCACCATCACTGGACATTATGAACATTATTCAGTACTATTTAGGAAATAAAATATTTTAAGGGTTATTTAGAGAAATGACCTGAGTTTTAGTGCTATTTAGTGCAAATATTTCTTATTATTATCTCAAAGGGAAGACAATGTAAAAAAATCAAGAAAGAAAACAAAAGGTACTTTATACATACCTTTAGAAATATAGTTTAATTTTTGAGTAATAATAATAACAATAATTCGGCCAAAAATATTGCCTAACTACGAAAAAACTACGTTCTGTGAGAATAGTGAATACGGAGTAATATATAATGGACCGCACACTAGAATTAGGACTCAATCGGATTTCCTCTTCTTTAAATTTGTTCCTCTTTGGGTTTGAAATACTCTCAAGAATCACCAAAATATTGTTTATTACTCAATATATGTTCTCTCTCTCAAGTCATAAGATGATCTATTCAAAGCACAACCTTCTCTTTTAGAGGAGGTCTCCCTAACGACCATCTTATCAATATATCTCCGTTGGTTGCATTGAAGCCTTTTTTGAAAGCCTCATCCACTACTCCAAGTCAGTGGCCTGTGGACAAATCCATTTATCACCTCTGTTCTAGATAGATAGTGACGGGAATATTTGTCCATCTCTCAAGGGAGGTGCCACCACAATTCTACCGGGGTGGGCCGCCTCTCTTTGGTGACCCGATCCTCTTATCGGTTGGAGTTCAATTATTGCTTGAGTCCAATCTTTCCAAGTCCCATGTTAGCACCCCCGGGCCTGATCCTTCTTCAATTAGATTTGGCCCGACTATTATTGTCTCATTCTGGTCTAATTTTAGTTAACATTCACATGAAAGCGCTTCCACCAGCTCTGTTTCAATATTTATACTCAAACTCTTTTTCATTACCGATAATCAGCTAGCAAGATATAATAGAAGAAATGAGAAATATTATTATTAGTTTCAATATCTTTCTAGCTACTTCCATACTATATGTTGTTAGTTGTTACCATATTTTTTCTTATTATTTTTCTTATTCTAACTTTAATTACGAACACTTATGTATGGAGTTTTTTTATATATAGAATATAAATCTTCTTGAGATCAATTATTATCAAATTATATATATAAGTAAAGTTAATGTTATTTTTGAATATCATTAAAGTAATGTACGTTTTCCTATATAGAATATGAGAGTAAGATAGAGTAGCACACTGCAGTCTGCGGGTATACATAAAAAAGGATGAGTCTCATCTCCGAGAGCTCCTTCAAATTTAACCAAACAATCACTGAAAGAAAGAAAATTGAACTTTAATCATAAATTAGTAATAAATAAGGGAACATGAAACCTGGTGGCAAAGAAGACTTGTGTATGGAGTATATATACCTAGATCGTAGGTATACATGGGCACGTAGGGTAAGGGGAGGGGTGAGGATTAGGTGAAGTGTATACTCGGAGGGCTTATTGTTACAGATACGACAAGATCGACTTGTCCCTAAAAAAAAATACGGAGTGCACAAAATTACTTTATCCGTCCCTGAGTGTTTGTCCACTAATTTTGACTTTTGGAACTGTTCATCTAAGCATTTTTATTTATCAAATTCTCTCAATGTGTAAGCCTAAAAATAGTCATGTGTGATCTTGTTTGATTCGTTTTAACATATAGATTATTAATATATAATTTTTTATAATTTTTTAATATACAAATTACAAGATAAAATAGATTAAAGAAGTGCATTGGATGACATGCAAAAATGAAAGTGGACAAACACTCAGGGACGGAGGGAGTATAAGGGTTATGCCTTAGGGCCCCCAACATTTAAACTTCACTTCTAACCCCACTTTAACACATAGTGACTTTGCAAGAGAGTGAGGTTGAAATGTTGGGGTCAATTCTTATTTTGTAAAAGTTTTGATGCCATATTTTACTATATATGAGTAAATTTTATTTTTAAACTATGCACATACAATCAAATAAAATAATTAAAAATAAAATCTACCAAAACTCGTAATACATATTGGAAAGATCTACGAATGAAGGAATAAGAGAGTAAACATCCAAAAAAAGGATGGACTCCATCTCCGAGAATTTCTCAATCAGAATCGATCGAACGGTCACTGAGAATGAGTAAATTAAACTTTAATTGTAGATGGGTGACAAGAATAGTAAACATCCAAAGTAATGTGGGAGGTGACGCTTTGTATGTTAAATCAAAAATCTCTCATGCAGATCATATATGGATCGGGTAATAAACATCCAAAGTAATGTATCAAATCCATTCAATCACTGAAATGAATTGATAGAAAACTGTTTTTGGATTTAATTTGATGCATGCATTGCATGCCCGCTCCAGACACATAGAGCCCGCGGGCGGGTGGTTCTTTAACTTGTGGTCATGTCCAGTATGGCCGGCCTACGTACTATATTCCATTCGTTCTATAAAAAGATTATTTTTTGTATCAACATGTAAAATTTTGTAATTTTTAAATTAAAATTATTTTAATCATAGAAATGGAGTATATTCAATTTTTTAATGTAAACAAGGTATCTTGACTTTTGGAATGTAGATATTTGAAGGTGGTTAAATTCAAATTTTAGCTACGGCTTTGTTTGGAATAAGTTTTTCGATTAGCTATCTTTAGTATTTTGCATCAAAAAATCAATGATACAGATTATAAATGTATCATACGTAGTATATTGGCAAATAAAATAAACAAGAAACAAACAAATAAAAATGAGTGGTAGCTAGAAAAATGGATGGTGTACTTTTGGGGTACACCTTTGGTGTACCCCTAGCACCCCCTACAGATTAACATGGAAAATGTTGAAGCTAAACATTGCCTTTTACGCACTCTGTTTTTTAAAATAATGTTCCTTTCATTTTTTTCTTTAACCGACAGTTTCGATTAAAAACTTATTTTTACCTCTACTAATTTTTATCCTACCTATCACATTTGAAAAACACATACTCCCTCCCTCCCAGAAAACATGGAAGTTTTGATTTTGAAGAGGGATTTAAGGGGAGTGTATTTTGGTATTGAATTTCCAAAAATGTCCTTTGATGTGATAGGTAAAAATATGATTTGATGGATAGATTATTAGTAAAAAGGTATGATGTGATAGGTATGGTATGAAAAAGTAAGAGGTAAAAGTGACCTTTTAATAGAAATGAGAAGTGTTTTTTTGGGACGGATGAAAAAAGAAAGGAGAAAAGTAATCTGGAAAGAGGAGTATATTTTAGTACTATTTAATACAGATTTCACTAATATATAATTTATTTTTTTATTTAAAAATCAAAATTTATCTAGATTAAGTAAAAGAAAGTCAAACTATACGAATAATAAAATGTAGTAGTAAAACACAATGAATCAAATGGCATCTCTCCTCTCACTCTTCCTCGTTATTTTGTCTGCTCTTAAAAACATGCATCCGTGTGGCATGAACATGCCAGATCGAAAGAGAAAGCTCACCCATGGATCTCAGATGCCTTTAATTTAAAAAAAATGCTGGTCAAATTTATTTGGCATCTTATTCACACCATGAGACTCATTCAAATAAACATTTCTCCAAAAATTTACCTATGTTTTTTTGTCCAGACACTCCAAAATTTACTTATGTATATTCTTAATTTAACATTTACCCGAGTTAAAAAAATATGTAATTAAAATTTATTCACAAGAAAAGTCTTTTGATTACTCCGTACATATTTATTTCTTTAAAAGGAAATCAAATAAATGTGAAATTTCTTTTGGTGTCATTACTCAGTTTGTGGGGGAGAAAAAAACACTTGTACAGATGCACTTAAAAGAAAAATGGGGGAGGGTAAACATAGATATAGTATTTTACAAAGAGTAATTTAAATAACCGAACACAAACGAGAATTGCAACTGTATTTCAACATAAATTCCGAGGGGGACAGTTCAAATTTGCAGAGAAATTGTTAAATCTCCACTGCAATGAGAGGAGGGATCTCAACTCCAAATAATATATATCTACATGTAACTCCTTTCTGTTAACAAGGTAAAAATTAATTTTTTTTTCTTCTTTTTTAAAGCAAAGAATTTGAACCGGAGTCTTTAATTACCAAAAGTAACACGAAAATGAAAAGAAAAAAAACAAGAACTTGATGATGGTGGTGGTGGTGGTGGCGGCGGTTGTGGTGGAGGTGGTGGTGATGAAGAAGTGAAATAGCAACTCCTCATCATCATGATGAACAAGTGCGACTGCTTCCGAGCTTGAGCTCCAGATCATCCAAACCCACCTCATGAATCCTTTCCCCTTCCCAGGCCTTCATCGCAACCTTCTCAAAGTCAAAATCCATGCTCATCTTCCCTTCCTCATTGAACAAGAACCCATCCCCTCTGGAAGGACCACCCTGAGTAGCAGCAGCAGGTGCAGGCTTCACGAGATTGAATGTCGGGGAAGTCGGTGCATACTTCTGGAAGCTCATCCACTGTCCCGAATCAATGGTAGAAGTGTCAGATTCGTCGCATTCTGGAATGGTTGCAGGGAAGCGCTGCCTACGGGTCGGGCTGCTTGGGGCAGAAGCAAAGTAATTGGAGACATTGAATGCCGACATGGACTGTTTGGCCAGAGTTTCCAGGTTGAAGGTCTGTTTGTTCCTGGTAGGGGAAGAGAGGGGTGGAGTTACAGGGGCACTGTTTGAGATCCTCAGGGCAGGGAGTGATGAGGTGATCCCACTGTGGAGGAAGGCAAATGGGTAGGAGGAGTTGTTGTCGCCGCCGCCATGGGTTGGGCTGGGGCAGGCAGAGGACAATGGACTGACTTGGTAAGAAGGGATAGGGGTGGCAAAGTAGGAAGATGGAGGGCTGGGATTGCACGAAGAGCTCGGGGTGATGTTCGTCGAAGTGCCTCCGATCTCCATTGGGATCGGGCTGCTGCTCGGCTTCCGTCCCTGAGAACACAGAAAAACAAGCATTCAAACCAGTTAACACACACACACACACACACACCAAAAGCATCTGTCTATTCAGCACAATGAGTTAGGTTGTCCCAAACTATATATTTTCTACTGATTTAGTGGCCCTTTTATTGCCACTTCTCTTGGCTTTAAAGCCTTATCTGCCATTAGTTGATTGTGAGGCTAATAATCAAAGAATATACAAATGAATGTTCAGTATCTGGCATTTCTTTTCTTTACTTTATCATTAAAACCCATATTTTCCATAAGCATTTCTTGTTCTTAATTGAGAAATTATTAGCAGTTTCATCCATATCTGCCACAATTTCAACAGCTTGTTTAAGTAAAATTCGCCGTTCGCAAGCGGATTCTTAATTATGAAATTGAAGTAGAAAACCCCATTGCAAAGAGATGATCAACCAGAGAGAGGATCATGAGCTGGTTCCAGGCTTCATATAATGATTCAAAGTTTCAGAAAGTAAATGCTTAAAGTGGTCCAAATGTAGAAAAAAAGGTCCATCCAGGGCCCGAACTAGTGTAAATCCCTAATTCAGAGAAACAATTAAGGGAAATTAAGACCTAATCTCTAAATCCGATTTCCATTTCTGGAAATCATCCGAGTCCCTTGACTGGTATCAATCATGAAAATTCCTGGAAACAGTAGACATCAGACCATTCCGATTCAAAACGCGGAATCAATCAAGCGTCTCCTCGGAAGGATTATTACAGCAGAGAGAATTTCCGGTGAGATTATTGAAATCGCACTCCGTAAATCACCAGATCTGCGGGAAAAATTGGAGAAGAAGAAGAAGGGAAAAGGTAAAGGGGAGGAGGAGGGAGAGAAAGAGAAGAAGTGAACCTTGCGGTAAGTGGTGCCGTCGGGCTCGACAATCCAGCCGGCTTCGGCGCAGAGAGCCTTGAGGACCTCGTTATTATCGCAGTGCTTGGGCAGATTGTAGTTCCCCTGAGCTCGAAGGCCGGCATATATCTTAGCAGCTATGGCTCTCCTCCTCCTCTCCCTCCTCCGGTTGTTCTCCCTCTCCCTCCACGACGGCTTCCTCCTCCCGCTACTACTTCCGGCGCAACCTCCGCCGGCAGCAGCAGATTCTCCGCCTTCCCACATCATTCCTCTTCTTCTCGCTCTCTGTCTCGCCCTCTCTCTGTCTTGCTCTCTGAGATAAATGGTGATGTGGGGCCCCCAGGGAGGATGGCAGGGGTGGCGTTTCCTGAGAGTGAGTCACGAGGAACACGATCTCATTGCCTCTGCTTTTCTGGTTTCCGAAGAATCTCTCTCTCTCTCTCTCTCTCTCTCTCTGTTTTCTCACTCTTTTTCGATGTATCTTTGGTGTGTTTTCGCTGGGCATTTATTTATGTGTATATAAAAAAGCTAATTAGTCATACTTTTTAGCCCAATTGATCCCGAGTGGAGTATTAATTACGGAGTATAAAAGATTTACTCCCTCCTCTATTATATTGTGCGTTTACAATGGGGGCTTTTTCGTCCCACCCCAATTCTTACCACCACAATATTTTACTACTTAGTCCGTCCCTGAGTGTTTGTTCACATTTGACTTTTGGAATTGTTCATCTAAGCACTTTGACTCATCAAATTCTCTCAATATGTAAGCCTAAAAATAGTCATGTGTGATCTTGTTTGATTCGTCTTAACATATAGATTATTAATATATAATTTTTATAATTTTTTAATATACAAATTACAAGATAAAATGGATTAAAGAAGTGCATTGGATGATATGCAAAAATGAAAGTAGACAAACACTCAGGGACGGAGGGAGTAACTTTTTGTTCGCTCCAAAATCTTGCTCTAAAAACTCGTATCTCCATTTTTTTTACAATATTCACCATTTTTAATGTCATTTTTTTAAAAAAACAAAATGCATATAATTAAAATAAAAATACTAAGATTGACAATCTTTATTTAAAACAACATCGAAATAAGAAACAAAATGCACAAAAATATATTTAAAATTTAAAAAACATCGAAATAAAAAACAAAATGAATGAAAATTAATGCTACAATTAAGTATTGGTGTACCTCTGTCAAGGAACCAATTCAACCAAAAGCTCAAGCTTGTGGTTGTGGCCCAAGAAGACTTATTTATATTCTAACACGCCCCCTCACGTGCAGGCGTAGTCTTTTTTTTCGAGCCTTGCACGTGAAACCTTAATTTTTTTTAAACTGGTGGCGCTGAGTTTCGAACCCGTGACCTCTTAGTCAACGAGGCTCTGATACCATGTCAAGGAACCAATTCAACCAAAAGCTCAAGCTTGTGGTTGTGGCCCAGGAAGACTTATTTATATTCTAACAACCTCCAAATTTCTTCGATGAAATCATCTTGGAGGGTAGCATGGCTTCGTTCATCTCGCATACTTGCACGCTTGTGATTCGCGAGGTGGCCCTTGAGTCGCAAGACCTAGGCGACGGTGGCCCTGTATTCCTGTAAGTGAATGCAACCCCCTCGTTTATAAAACGAGTGGCGTTGGTTCTCTCGTCTTCAACTATCATTTTATGCAGTATAATACATACATACATGAAGTCTAAGATGAACTACCGGCCTGCAGGGCCTTTCACTATCGATCACCGCGATTGAAAAAACTTGATCGTTACTGCTTATGCACGTCAAATAATATCTTCTTCCTAAATTCATTTTCTTTAATAATTGCAAGTAATAATTTATTCCCTCCGTCCCATAAAAAAAGTTACGTTTCATTTTTTTGCGCATTCCAAAAAAAATCTACCCTCATCTAAAATGGCTAAAAATTACCACATTTACTCTTTATTGTGGGTAAGAGTCGTTTTGAAAGTTTTTTGGTGTTCGAAACGATATAGAAGTGTTTTATGGGATGCGCAAAAAAATGAAACCTAACCTTTTTAATGGGACAGAAGGAGTCCTACTAGTATATTATAGAATCTTTTTATATAATTTTAAAAGTATATGAAATTTGTTTTTAAATTTTACAGAAATATTAAATACTATTGAGGTCAATGAAACGAAATCTTAAATTGAAATATTTAATACAGTATACTACATTCGTCCCAGAGTATTTGTCCACTTTCATTTTTACACATTATCCAATACACTTCATTAATCCATTTTATCTTGTAATTTGTATATTAAAAAATTATAGAAATTATATATTAATAATCTATATGTTAAGACAAATCAAACAAGATCACACATGACTATATTTAGGCTTACACATTGAGATAATTTGATGAGTCAAAGTGCGTAGATGAATAGTTCCAAAAGTCGAAACTAGACGATTACTCCGGGACGGAGGGTGTATTTATTTGTACTCCGTATTATAATCGGGATGTTGTACATCCACATGTGCATTGCCGCGTCCTCACTCCTCTCTCCCTTTTTGTTTTCTCTAAACAAAATACTCCACTGTAAAAAAAACACATTATTTAAATATTTAAAAAAAGAGCTTGAAAATTCATTGTAGGAATCCCCGTAAAAAAACATACATTACTAATAAAAATGCATGTCAAAATGCAAAATTGAAAATTTATTTTAGAACAACCAAAAAATTGATAATTTAATTTTGAGACTCAATTATATGAATTAATTAAATCATCCTCACCAGACAATTTCGAAAACAATTTTATTTTTTTTCAAAATTTCAAAACGTATTAAATATTTCAATTTAAGATTTCGTTTTATTGACCTTCATAAATATTTAATACATTTTGAATTAATTAAATCATCCTCACCAGAGATTGAAACTGATTGTAAGGAGGTTGTGGATGCACTGAATAACCCTTCCGATGATTGGTCTTATTTTTCTTCGATTATTACTGATTGTAAATCCTTATTGACTTCGTGCGATGACATTTTTCATTTTCACTTTGTTTATCGCTCTGCTAATGAGGCGGCGCATGTACTAGCGCGAGCTTCTCATTCACCTCAGAGCAGGGGAGAATGGAACACTTCTCCCTCCTGACTTCATCATATCATTAATATAATTTTATTCCCTTTGCTTCAAAAAAAAATATTGTTTTAAATAATGTACTTAAATGAATAATGCTCGCATAAATAATTAGCAATTACTCCGTATTTCTTCATTCTTTTTTTGTTCGCCCAAAAGAATCATTTTTAAGGACGGAGATAAAACAAATTCTTGTTTAACAAATCATTTTTTATTTATTTTTGTTAAACTTTTGTTAAAATAATATTATTGTGTCATCTCTTTTGAATAAAAGATTTATAAGTACCACCGATTCTATTCAAGTAAGATCATTCTCGTCTCTTGTTTTATAGAAATTTTGACATGGTTTTTAATGTATATATTTTATTTAAAAATTTTAAACAATTATTTGGATAAAATTAATCAGGTTTTAGTACTCCTTTTGTACCAAAATTATTTTTCCCGCTACTATTTATACGTCAAATTTTATTAGAAGCGGAGGGTTATTAGAACGAGTGAAGCTTTATTATCTTAAGATTCAAATTTAAAGTTTGGACATTCTCATGTTTTTATAGGCATGCATGTTATTTTTTCTCATTCACTATTCACATTGTCAAACTTTCTTCACTTTGACGTATTTTTGTTGTCTATTTGATAAAACATTACAATCATGTCATGTCTAGTTTTGTAGATCTTTTCATATCATATAATTTTTCATATAAAATAATTTGAAATAACTTCAATCAAATATCACAACAAAAATAATATTATTGGTTAAAAGGAATACAAATTTAAAATGAATATAAACTTTATGACCACACAAGAATTTGCATATTAGTTAGGACTGAGGGAGTATTATCAGGGCCGGCCTCGAAAAATGAAAAAATAAAATTGGTCCGGTCCAAACATTACATTTTGGACCATATTTTATTTTTTAGAATACTTTTGCTTTAAAATTATCAACAAATTTAAAAATATGGGACCATCCATGAGTATTATTAATGGGACATATTAAGTTGTAACAACAAGGGATGACAAGAACGTGTGCCAATATCAGTGTGAGATGGTTGACTGCAGTAGGGGTCCACATGGATATGATATGATATACTGTCATACGCAGCATTTAGTACTCCGCTTGTGGCTTTGTAAAATGAGTCCATCCCGATTTTATTCTATAATTATTTTTTACAAGTTAAATTTTATTCTATAATTATTTTTTATTCTCTCCGTCCATAAATTTTTTACATATGATTTTTGACGATTTCTAATATAACACTTTGACTATTAATATTTCTATTTATAAATAATTATACATTATAAAAAAATTAAATATTTTAAAACTATATTTTAAAATAAATATATTGATATCAAATTTATATGATATTTCAATGTATTTTTCCGTAAATAATAATCAATCTTTTTTACAAGTTTGACCAAAAAGAAATTATGCTTTAAAGAAAATTTAGGAAGTACAATAATACATGTGTATATAATAACATTATATTAGGTGACCATGAATTTTTGTCATAGTTATTTTTGACGCCTGAATTAAAGTTGAGCCTCGAATTGATAGAGATGTCTTTTAATCTTGTTTTTGGTGTGTTTGTTTTTTCATTTTCAAAAAATCAAAAGGTCTCCAGTCTCCACTAGCCGACTTATCAAAAGGTGCATCCAATATCATATCCTTGAACAAATAAACCAAATCAAATACTCCCATTTTACTTATCATATTCTTTTCGTCACGATTAAAGTCGCAAATTTTTGAACTTTAGTTATCTAAAGTTAAAATCAAATTTATCACATTTTTTGTAAAGAAAAAAATATGACTCATAGTATTTTTTCTGTTCTAAATTAATTTCAATTTGTTATAGTGTCATATCGAACTATTAATCACAGGAATTAGAAATTAACAATGTGATATGTGGTGAGCTAAATTGCGCATAGGTAAGTTTTTATTACTTGATTTGCAATTCTTGTCAGTGAACTCGTAATTAATTCATACGAGTTAGTCAATTGACCAAATAGCTTCAATGTTTCTTGTACTTTGGAAACTTATCATTAATATATTTCCTATTTTGAAATTTTATTTTTAAACCGTTCATAGTTTTAAAATGTTTCGCACATACCCTGTCTGATCATTTTCCAGCGGAGATCAATGGATTTTTTTTTGAAGATGAAGATGATGCAGGTGATGTATACACTCGAGAGAACATACGGGAGAGTAAATTTCTTGCCTGGATGAAAGCAAATGAAAAATATCCCTTGGCAAAAAATTTAACATATGCTGAGTTCCCTCAGAAATTTGTTTTGTTTGGAAGCCATCTAAAAGAGAGTATGAACCTCGCCTTAGAGGTTTTGCAATAGGCCGTGTTATCTATGCTCCTCCTGGGTCTGGAGAATCTTATTATATGAGAATACTATTGAACATAGTTCGAGGACCTACATCATATGAAGATTTGAAAACTGTCAATGGTGTTGTTCACGGCACTTATCGTGATGCATGTTATGCTTTGGGATTGCTGGATGATGATAGGGAGTACATTAATGGATTCAAAGAAGCCAGTGAGAGAGTGGTGTTCTGCCAATCAACTGAGATTTTTATTCATAACACTTCTCACAAATGAATCAATGTCGAGACCAAAACATGTTTGGGAGCAATGCTGGGAATTCATGGCAGATGACATCCTACATCGCCAGCGTTGTATACTAAGTCATGAAGGTATTATTTAACTATTTATACAATTTGTATAAATATATAATATTTTTCCAAACATATAATTTTCCTATTAAATCTGTAGGTTTGATGTTAAGCGAGGATCAGATCAAAAAGTACACCTTGATTGAGATTGAGATGTTGCTTAGAATGCGTGCCAGAAGTCTCCAAGACTTCATTGATATGCCTTTTCCTATTATAGACAATTCCTCAACGAATCAAAACAGACTCATTCTAGATGAACTACAGTATGACCACGTTGAACTGAGCGTTGAACACCAAAAATGTTTGGCACAGTTGAACAAGGAACAACTTACAGCTTATCATCACAGTGTAATGACTTCTGTTGAGATGAATGAGGGAAAGGTTTTTTTGTATACGGTTATGGAGGAACGGGAAAGACCTTCGTATGGAAAACTCTGTCTGTTGCCCTTCGTTCCAAAGGAGAAATTGTGTTAAATGTTGCCTCTAGTGGCATTGCTTCATTATTGTTACCTGGTGGAAGAATTGCCCACTCGCGATTTGGAATTCCAATTAATCCGCATGAAAATTTCACATGTAACATAAAACAGGGAACTCCTTTGGCTGATTTATTAGTTAGGACAAAACTAATTATTTGGGACGAAGCCCCGATGACCCACAAATATTGTTTCGAAGCTGTCGATAGAAGTCTACGCGATGTGATGTCTGTTGTTAATCCATCAAATGCTGAGCGGCCATTTGAAAGGAAAACTATTGTCTTTGGTGGTGATTTTCGACAAATTCTGCCTGTCATTCCCAAAGGAAGAAGACAAGACATTGTCAATGCTGCCATTAACTCTTCATATTTGTGGAACTATTGCACGGTCTTGCGTTTGACAAAAAACATGCGCTTGCAACACATGTCTCGCGATAACAATTATGAAAGCATGTCAGAATTTGCGGACTGGATAGCAAGCATTGGGGATGGTATTGCCAGAGAGGAGAATGATGGATCGAGTGAGATCATTATTCCTGAAAATATGTTGATAAAAACCACAGAAGATCCAATAGCAAGTATTGTGCTTTCCACTTATCCTGACTTCCACAACATCGCAAATGATCCCACATATATGCAAAATCGCGCAATCCTTGCTCCAACTCTAGACGTTGTGGATGAAGTCAATGACTACATGACATCAATGAACAACGTGGGGGAAGCAAAGAGCTATTTTAGCTCTGATTCAGTGTGTATGTCTGATTCAAATGCAGATTTTTTGTCAGACTTACACTCTCCTGAATTTCTGAACAACATACGAGCTTTTGGTGTCCCGAATCATGAACTAAAATTGAAGGTTGGGACACCCATCATGTTATTAAGGAATATTGACCAATCGTCGGGCCTATGCAATGGAATAAGGTTGATAGTAACTCGACTTGGCAATCATCTTATCCAAGGCACAGTCATGACGGGAAAAAATGTAGGTCAAGAAGTTGTTATCCCACGATTGTCGCTCACACCGTCTGATGCAAGGATTCCTTTTAGGTTTCAAAGAAACAATTCCCAATCATGACTTCATATGCGATGACAATTAACAAAAGTCAAGGTCAATCTTTGTCGCATGTCGGATTGTTATTGAAGAAATCCGTATTCAGTCATGGTCAACTTTATGTGGCAGTTTCACGTGTCGCAAGTCGCCAAGGGTTGAAGATCTTGATTTGCAATAAAGACCTTCCTACATGTAACCAAACTACGTGTCAACAAAAGCTTAAGCTAATAGGTATAGCTTCACCCTTCTACAGATGCTAGAGGTATTCTCTTTTATTTTTCGATGTGGGAATTCTAACAACATTCATAATTTGATAAAATAAAATATTCTTGTCACCATTTTTTTAGTAAAGTTTTTTATGTAGTTTTTAAATATAAATTTTTACTTTTTATTTTTCTGCCAATTTGTAGATAAAATTATTTTAAAAAATCACAAAGTTTTGTACATTAATCAAAATAGAAAATTTTTTTAAGGACGGAAAAAGTAATAAATAATGAAAAAGTAATTTTCGAAAATCATTTTGCTGGTCTAGGGGAGTCCTTAATTCTAGATTGTATTTCCAACACATTAACGGGTTCACGCCGTTCACGGGTGGGTGGGGGGTTGAAGGCACACGGAGTTATAATAAGGTGCGTTTGGTTTCGGGAGGTTATAGATGCTTTGGTGGCATGGATGAAGTATAGTCAACAGTCCATATGTTTTTTGACACGTGTTGTGGGGTCTTGACATACAAACACGCCACGTGAACAATTTCTAGACACTCTATTCTACTTGCTCTTCTAATAATAGTTTTCTCATTTTTTTTCAAAATAATTAGTATTTTTTTTTTTAAAAATGTAGTTTAATTTTCTCTTATGCAAATTCATCATTCGTTTCTAAAATGAGTTATTTACCTCTAAATTTTTAGAAAATTGCAGAGATTTCCCTTGAAATTTAAAACTATACTAATGCTCCTGAATTATTAAAAATTTTACATCAATGATTCCTCTGTGCCAGATTTGAGAGTTTGTTAATCACATGCTCATCAATACACTGTGTATGATACACATGTTGGAACTTGATTTACCTAGGGGTGGACACGGTACGGTTCCGGTACGGTTCCGGTTCCGGAACCGCCGGTTCCGGTACCGCCACCCCATGTCACCGGAACCGTCACCGTGCCGGCCGGTACCGGTTCCGGTTCCCGGACCGGCGGTTCCGGTACCGGACCGGCCGGTTTCGGCCCCCCTCCTTTTTTTTTTTGCTTTTTTTAAAATTTTTAAAGTATAAAATTGTAAATTTGCAATTGTTTAAGGAAAGAATGAAATAAAAAATCTAAAAATGTAGTTGTTATTTAAATATTTTAAATGAATAATACACTAACTGAAGAACAACCACATTTAATATCCTGACGGTTCAAAAAAAGCGACGAGGTAAAGAACCGTAAAGAAACCCTCGAAGGAGCTTATATATCGCTCACCTAAAAAAACTAATTACATATCTACATTAACATAAAAAAATTATAACTTATTCTTCAGAACTCGGACTTCCATCTGTTGTTGCATTCATGTAATGCTCCGATTCGAGTAGGTACGATGACTCTTGAGCTCGACGTCTTGCCAAGAGCCAATCTTGGTTGCAAACCAGTGTTTCAAGAGATTCAGCGCTAAGACAACTTCGAAAGTCGGTTAGAATGTTGCCGCTAGCACTGAATTCTCGTTCAACTGCTACGGTTGATACCGGAA